GCAATCTTTGGGATATCAGGAAATGGACGAAGTGCCACAGGACCTACATCTCCCCACCTCTGCAGTGCGGAGAGAGGCAGGACCTGGCAACTACACATGAAGAGAAATGCACTACTCTACGGGAAAACCTCTTCCCACCCCCACCCCACCTTACTAACCAACCACCCATCTCCCTAGACCCAAGAAACAATGACATTGAGTATGTCAGTGTCACGAGGAGAGAGATCCATGACACGATATTCACTGCAGCCCAGCTAAATGCTCCAGGCATCTCAGGCCTCACAGGCCGGGCCTGGAGATGGGTGTGGAAGATGCTAGGAGACGAGATCTTCCACCTCCTGAGACTATGTGCAGACTCAGGATACCACCCAAAACTATGGTGCATGGTGATAGTGGTAGCCCTGCAGAAACTGAACAGAGATTACTCCTCACTGAGATCCTACAGACTGATCCAACTGCTTGAAGTATCAGGAAAAGCCCTAGAAAGAGTGCAGGCCCGCAGATTAGCATACCTAGCTGCCAAACACCGCCTATTCCCCACCACCCAATATGGTGGCATTCCAGGCAGATCAGTGCAGGATGCCCTACTCACTATAGTCCACAATATTGAGGTGGCATGGAATCATGGAAAGGTGGTATCCACACTCACCTTCGACATCACAGGCTTCTTCAACCATATTCCACACTCCCACCTTATCAACACCCTCAGATCCTACCACATCCTGCTGCCCATAGTAAAATGGGTACTCAGCTTCCTCCGAGACAGACAGGCAGCCATTTGCCTGGATGGTAAATGGGACTAGCTTAGACCCATTTCCACCAGTGTACCCCAAGGCTCATGCATATCCCCCATTCTAGCTGCTTTCTTCACCTCACCAATGTGCAAAGCCATCACTGAAGGAACACAAGCCAGAATCATGAGGAACACAGAGCTAAGCACTAAGTTCAAAAAAGGCCAAATCACTATCTTACCCCCCACTCTATATGTAGACGACAGCTCACTCTCAGTAGCAGCACCCTCCAAAGCAGAGGCCACGGATGTCATAAGAATGGCATTCCAAGCAGCACATGAGTGGCTGAGGGAAAGGGGCATGAAGACTGACCCAACAAAGAATGACCTAATGCACTTCACAAAGACGAGAATGGGGAGGAATGCAGGCCCCGGTCCATCAATCACCATACCCTCACACAAAGCCAACACAACCAAAACTATCACACTGTCAACCTGATGCACTACCTGGGCATCTGGTTCGACCCACAACTCAAATTCACCAAACACATCAAAAGAGCCACCTCAAAAGCAGCCGGAGCGGCACAAGCCCTACACATGCTCAGTAATTCAGAAAGAGGCCTCCACCAGACACACTTCCAATGCCTGTACCTAGGAGCGATTCTTCCAATCGCACTATATGGTTTACCTGTCTTCTGGCAGAAGAAAACAATACTAATCAGGAAACATCTTTCTACTCTACAAAACAAGTGCCTCCACTTGATAACCAGGGCCTTCCATACTACAAACATAAACGCTATGGAGATAGAAGCTTCCATCCCCCCATCGACCTATACCTTGAATACAGGTTAAAGATGGAAGCGACTCACCTCTCATGTCTCCCAGAGGACCACCCAATAATAAACTGACTCTACTCATGGCAAAGAAGGCAGACAATGCCAACAGAGCCTCCCCCTCACCCAGTTTTCGACCCACACAAAAGATACCGCATGGACCCAATGGACAGATTCTCAACATGCATCACCCACATCGCCAAGCACATGATCCACAGCACCGAACAGATCCACCCAAACCTAGAGGCACCTGGCACATCTCAGAACATGACATCGAGGACAGGATACAGATATACCTACCAGATGATGCCCCAGGATCCTTGTACAAGAAGGAATGGACAGATGACCACTTGGAATTCACCACAGAACACAAGGAAAACCCTGATATCCTCTTCATATACTCAGACAGTTCCAAAATGTCGGAAGAAGGAATAGTTTACACAGGATTCAGAGTCACAGGCTATGTAGTGGGCAAGATAGCATTGGCCCAATGGGACCATACATAAAAGCATTTGACACCGAGATGCTGGGCCTGAGAAAGGCAGCAGAAGCAACCTGGTGCTTCTTCAACGATGACTCTATCACCCCTAAACCCACCCAAATCATCTTCTACTCGGATAACACAAGCGCGATCAGAAGGATCTTCCAAGGCAAACCTGGGAAGGCCCAAGAACATACCAGAGCCTTCAGAAAGACCATCTGCAGCCTCATAAACAACAGAGACGACCTAAATCTCACCATCAGCTGGTGCCCTGGCCATTGTGGTATCAGTGGTAATGAATGGGCTGATGAGCTAGCCAAAGAGGGCGTGTCAGGGCCCAGCCTCGGACTCGGAGGCTCCCTGACCTCAACCCCCATCTAACCTGTCCTCACACTATGCAGGGCATGAGATGTATAGTAAAAGGAAAGATAATATATACACTTGCCTATGCGGGGCATGAGATGAGAAGAAGGGTAAAGGTCTCATCTCCCCGCATGGTTGCTATATAAAGGAATGGGGGTGCTGAACCCTGACAGGGCGCCTGTAAACCCACTGATTGCCCCCGCTACCACTCACTCTCCTATGTAGAAAGCCTACATAAACACGAATTGCTAGAGGTGTGGAGAGAACAATGGACTTGCACACCCAACCCACCCAAATCTGGATTCTACACAGCAAACCACATCCCCCCCTCGATCAAACCCACCACCAGGTTTAAATCCCTGGACCGAAAAACTTTCAGCACACAGTTCCACACCAGCCATGCTCACATTGGGGAATACTACCACCGATTCAGCATCCAAGTGGAGAGCAAGGAGTGCACTTGCAGCACATACATGCAGACCAGAGAACACATCCTACAGGTATGCCCAAAATTTAAGAGATTCAGACACATACTGGGCCATGGACGTCAGTCTAGGTTCAATATCCTGTCAGGGCCCAGCACCCAAGCCCTGACCCCACACCACCTCCTCTCCTTCTCTACCTATTGGAAATGGTGAGTCACCAGAGATATCCGGGACATATGTGGAGGATAATGTGGAGGATGTGACTAAGCACTTGCATAAATACTGTGCATAGGAAGCTCCGGATTGCCGATGCATAGTATAAATATGGGTGCTTTAGCACCGTATGTTCTTTAGTTACAGTTTCTCTTCTCATTTCTATATTACATCTGGGTTGCGAGTGAACCGCTGAAGTGGGTTGCTATATATGGAACTCCGGATTTACAACACTACCAGTTGTTGTTTCACTGCCCTGTACACTTGTGTGAGCACGGAAGTGTGAGAAGACCTCCAGACACTGCCACAGTTCTGGGCGAGCTGCTCACCCAGAATGTTCCCACGCCCTCTGAGTACTGCCACCCGGACCCTCCCCATAGTCACACCACTCAACTGGGGAACTGTACAGTCTTTCCTTTTATGGGTGCCATGCGGGGAGTTGAGAAGGTTACCCTTCTTCTCAACTTAGTGCCTGCATAGAGTGCCCACATAGCATAAGCACTGGAGAAGAGAGGCAATGGGAGCAGACCCAAGGCCCCAAACGGAGAAGGAGACAGTGATGGATGCAGAGTAGAGTGATCCAGTTGACCGACAACTATTTATTTTTATATATGTAACATACACACATTATTGCCCCGACAACCCCCCCCCCTGACATCACAACTCCCAAGGATCCCACTCACCCGAAGACACCACCCAGACACCCATATCATGTAAGGATGATCCCCTCATGTACACATGCTGCAGCGAGTTGGGATGGCCGCACTGCCATGTTGACACAAGGCTGCAGGGTGACAAAATAGAGTACAACAACAATAACACATGGTTCCTCCAACAACAGGTGATTGAGAAATGGAGAACAAGGACCAGGCAAGGTCACGTTAAGAGTCAAGTCACGAGGAAAACTCAAGTCACAGGTCAAGGCTGAGACCGAACGGAGTTAACCATACTGGACCAACAACCTCTTCCCATGGCCTCCGGGAGTTACCGGAGCCATAAATCAATTCAATTTTGTTGATTTTTAATTCAATCCAAGACCTTCATGTGACACATGACAGGTTGTTGGTCATGTTAGTACAGTATTCACATAACAAATAACTGGTGAACGCCGCCTGATGCGGCAGGTCCTGCCACTCTTCTGTCCTCCATCGTTCCTGGGATGAAGATCCAAGTACAAACCCAGCGAACGAGACACAATAGAGCACAATGCATCAACGCAAAAAGATCAGCATGTCAGATGAACCAATGATATTCAATTTCCATGACCCAATCATTGAGTGTTTAAAATCGATTCACTGTGCTCTACACCGAATTGTTGAGGTCATTGGCCCTTCGGTTGAAATAATATCTCGTGAGTATGACCCAGATTGCCTAGCCCGATGAGAATTTGGTAACAGAATATGCGCACAAATATGCGACACAGTACAAACGTTGAAAGAAACACCGTGGTTTTCAGCGAGGGGAATCAACTGGTGAGAAGATGCCAATTCGGCAGGTGGTAAAAGGCTGTAAGACCAGGGAGCTAAGGATATTCAGTTAAGAGAAGGAGCAAGACGAGATTGAGTTACTCACTGGTGAGGTCGGTGCAGGAACTGGAAGGTAGCGGTGGTCCGGAAAGCATGAGAGAAGCAGCGAAGTGGAACGATAGTACAAAGAGCAGCAGAGTAAACGGCACGAGAGTGGTGCGGTATAAGAGAAATTGGTTAGGGAGTTGGGAGGACCCTGGGTTATCGAGAATTGGCAATAATAGAGGGCCTTTTCATCAAACGCATTCAATCAGGGTCGAAAAATTTACAAGACCCGCTACAGAGTAGCGGGAATATATAGTGTAAATCACGTGAACGCGAACCTGGCGCCTCAATATAAATCAATATAAAATGGTTCAATATAATGGCAGGATTCCCACGAACCAACGCACGACCGACTCCCTATCTTCCATCCACCCATCATTGACCATGTCGCTGAAGCAGAGGGTCAATAATCTCCTCGCCGTGGGGGGTGATATTGCAATTCCAGTTCTTGCCACCATAAATTCTGCGTCAGGCGTGTTCCCTCCCCTACAGGCGGCCACCAATGCTGCACTCTTCATCCTCACTGAAATCAAAGTTAGTAACCATTTATACCGATCCTGGAACGGAAATTGACAATCTGCATTGTATAGAAGTTCAGGGGAAATAAGGAAGAATGGGAGCGTCTTGGAAAATATATTGGGGACGCCGTGATGAATGTGGTTAAAGCCATCGATTCGTATGATGGATCTAACGAACAGCCTAAGCCATGGATGGAAGGCGTCAAGAAGCTGAGCGAGTAAGTAGTATCTGCTCTATGCAGGCCATAACCCTCTACAACATAAGTACTCTGTAGGGTGCTGGAGCGCATTCGAATTGAAATCGGTCGATTGCGTGGGAAGATGGAAAGGCAGTCTGGTATCCGCAACCTCTTCTCTCATATGAAGAACCCTAGTAGGATCGATAATTTAAAGAAAGATTTTAGCGAAGCGTTGGCAATGTTCCAGGTAATTCCGTTTGATCCCCGGTTATGTTTCTGCTCTGACTTCATTATCGAAACCACATAGCTGCAGACAAACTTGACAGTCGGCACAATAGCAAACAATCAAGATCGATTGACTCGTGGAGTAGAAGATTCCTCAATTCTGAATGAACTCAAATATCCCATTGTCGCCCATCACGATTCAACCCAGCCGTGCCTGAAAGACACTAGGATTGATCTGATTGAGCGTATCATGGCGTGGTGTCGTACCACGGAGGATAACAAGAATCGTGTATTACTGCTAACGGCCGTGGCCGGTGCCGGCAAGACATCTGTTGCGCTCTCAATCGCAGAGGAGTGTAAAAGAGAAAGGATATCATTGTCAAGCTTCTTTTTCAAAGCAGGCGAGCAGTCGCGGCCGGACCATCTGTTTAGCGGCATGGCTCGATCTCTGGCAACCCACGACCCTGCATACCGCGCCTCGCTCATTTCGACTCTTCAGGAGGACCCAGCCCTCTCGGCTGCCCCGTTCGCGATGCAATTCGAGAAACTAGTTTCTGAACCTCTCCGCCTCAGGACATCTTCGTCTGACCGTCCTATGGTGATCATCATTGATGCGTTAGATGAGTGCGACACAGAGGCATTCCCACGTCTTGCCGACATACTTCGAAATGGAGTGCTAAAACTACCGCCCAACATAAAATTCTTTGTCACTTCCAGGCACTTTGACCTTGTCGACCGTTTTCTATCGCTTAATTACCCCATCAATCGCCTCACCATCAATCTTTCCGACGATACTAACATGCATGACTGTGCTATCTACATTCGATCGCAACTGCGTGCACTGAAGGATGTACATGATGATTTGAAGATCGGACTGGGGGAGGAAGATGAATTGGTCCAATCCATATTAGAGCGAGCAGGTGGCTTGTTCATTTGGATCAGTACTGTGTTTGGCTACATGAAGGTCACCGGTGGAGATGCCGCGAAGATGCTAAAGAAGTTGCTCGATGATGATCCCAGCCGATCAAAGACCTCTGCAGAAGAAAAACTGGATAGGCTGTATGCGAGCATTCTGGAGAAGTGTAACTGGACGAACGACGATTTCGTGCATGACTACCCGATTGTGATGGGAGCAATCTTAGTTGCACAGCAACCACTCTCTGTTGCAGCTTGGGATGTTATTCTGTCACCTCTCCTGGCATCGGACATCAGACATACATTAGCTCAACTCGCACCCCTTGTCTCAGGAGTAAGGGAACCTACCAAGCCGATTTGTATCTTGCACCAATCTTTTCGCGACTTTCTCACGGACCGAGTCAATCCACAATCACCCATACTTGGTCGGTTTTCAGTGGATGCAAGGAGGGGGATACCAGAGTGGCCTTGCGCTGCGTTGAAATCTTGAATAAAGATCTTCCCACTGTGAAAGATTTAGGGCTAATTGAGGACTTATCCCAAAAATTCAAGCTGCCACCCATTCCTCAAGAGGCGCTGTCCGAACACGTTCATTATGCATGTCGGCATTTCGTACATCATCTCAGCCAATCTCAGGGGCCATTGGAGACACCCAATGGGCCTATTCACGCATTTCTCAATCAGCAAATATCGCGCTGGGTGGAAGTCTGTATAAGGACGGAAGGGTACATTAGTATATCATCGTTTCCGGAATGGGCCAAGGTACGACATCAGTAGCGATCAATTGGGGCTCTTGTTCAGTCTCGTGTTCCATTCAGTTGAACGTTGATCAGACCTCCAAAGAAGTCATTCACATATTGGTCAAAGTGCTTGGCAATGTGAGGAGAAATCTTGCATTCTTTTTACGATTGGAGGAGGCATATGATATGGCAAGTGATTCGGTTGCACTGTGCCGTTGCCTTGTGTATACGGACTCAGATTCCTACACCCCGGATTTGGCTCGAGCGCTCCAGCATCTTCAAATATCACTTGACGAAGTTGGACGCCATTCTGAGGCACTCACAGTAATCGAAGAAAGTGTGAAACTCTGGCGTGAGCTAGTTGCTACCCATCCAATATCATACACCCCAGATTTGGCTCAAGCACTCCTGAATCTTTTTGTATCACTTGACAATATTGGATGCCATTCCAAGGCACTTACAGTGATCGAAGAAAGTGTGAAACTCCGGCGTGAGCTGGTTGCCACCCATCCAACATCATACACCCCAGATTTAGCGCGAGCGCTTGGGAATCTTAAAGTACCACTTGACAAAGTTGGACGCCATCCCGAGGCGCTCATGGTGATCAAAGAAAGTGTGGAACTCTGGCGCGAGCTAGTTGCCACCCATCCAACATCATACACCCCGGATTTCGCTCGAGCGCTCCAGAATCTTTTTGTATCACTCGACAACATTGGACACCATTCCGAGGCGCTCATGGTGATCGAAGAAAGTGTGAAACTCCGGCGCGAGCTAGTTGCCACCCATCTAACATCATACACCCCGGCTTTGGCTCGAGCTCTCCAGAATCATTTTGTATCACTCTCCAAAGTTGGACATCATTCCGAGGCACTCACGGTGATTGAGGAAAGTGTGGAACTCTGGCGTGAACTAGTTGCCTCCCATCCAACATCATATGCCCCGGATTTGGCTCGAGCGCTTGGGCATCTAGATGCATCACTCACCAACCTTGGACGACATCCTGATGCACTCCTTGTGAATGAAGAAAGTGTGAAGCTCTGGCGCGAGCTAGTTGCCATCCAACCGACATCGTACACCCCTGATTTGGCTCAAGCACTCCAGAATCTTAAAATATCACTTGACAATCTTGGACGCCATTCCGAGGCGCTGGTCGCAAATGAAGAAAGCCTTAGACTCCTGCACCAGTAGTGGTCATTTATCTCATCTCATCCACTCCAAGTTTGGTACAATCATTCTACAGCCTCACCAACTCATGCAAAGGCACGTTATGCCAAACCCCTAACTTTCATCGAAGATTCCATTGCTATTTGTCATTCGCTGTGTGTTACTTGTGTTTGGTGTAGCCTTGGCACTGCAGACTTCATGCCTTGGACACTGTGTGAACGCACCTGTGTGGCTCAGAGGTCATTATTATGCGATCACTAGCTTAATACTCTGATACACGTCTTCATATTCCCGCGTTGCTCATGCACCAGATATATCCATGTCTTGGAAGACGCAAAAGCGAGCATGTCATCAACCCCACGCAAGGGTCCAGAGCAATATCACGAGGCATGTTCGGGGCAATCACCCATTTCCCCCTAGCAAATACAGTCTCACAAGGCTGAACTCTCCGTCGCCATTGTCACATCCCCATCACTCCTCCCAGAAATATACTTGATCAGCCAGAAAACCGACAATCATTCGCGGCATTGAGCGGGACTGGGAGAGCCAAGTTGGGAACCTTTAGTCCTGCTGCGAAAAGGATTGTCCCGGCAATAAAGAGAATTTCAAATTGCCTCGTTGTGATGTGAGGTGTATCAGCCCAGGCGTGTTGGCAGAGTAGTACTACCGCGTTCGACGTGTAGCGCTTGTTTCCATCTTATTTCCTTTATTACTTATGCCTGATATCTCTTCTCACCACGACTACCCAGCTCTTGGGTTTTTATTTTCCCTTCTTCGTTGCCTCACAACATGATCTTAATTGTAAAGATGTGCGTTCGAACGAATAGAGGTGGAGTTGCAATCGAAGGAAGGAGCGTTGAGTACACCCTCTTCTCTAATATAGATTCACCGAACTGGGCCCAAGCGCTGCATCTTGTTCTAACTGGAGGCACTCGCGGCATAACCTTAAAAACGACCTCCGAGTCAGTCCAACCTTACGACATCTGGCATCTGCCCGAGCTCCGACCCACATGATAGCTAGATCTGCTCGAACTGTTGGTCCTGCCATTATTTACTGGTTACGTGTGCGTTCTTCGTACCGTCCTTAGCTTCCATCCAAATGCCTTCCAGAACCAGTTTCGCCACTCCCGAAACCGTTCATTCAGGTTCACTCTCTCATCCTATTCACCGGAATTTCACCTCGCCGCCACACACCATGCCATGCCACTCTCCCGAAATCATAAAGGATGGCTCTGGGACCTTGGACTCAAGGACTTTCCTGGATGATTTTCTTACTCCAGGAAACCTGTTCTGTGCAATCGCTTAGTGTTGATGCCTCGAATACCCTCTCAGCACTGATCAAACGGATCGTTACCATGCTCCGCTGTCGTGAATTTTCGTGTGCTGCGGCTATCATTCTTCATACTGTTGAACAAGGACTACGGGAAAGGACACCGGGGCACACTCTGGGGAGGCACCATATCTGCGGATCGTTAGCATTGTCCGTCACTGGACGCGTACACGTTGCTTCATTGATTTCACAGGTCTTGGTAACTGACCGCTCCGTGCTCAATGTTCTTTCCTGTAATCGCCGATGACGGATAACCGTTCGGTGCTACTGACGGGAGACACGGACCGCATCAACTCGTTTTAGAGGGTGTACGTGTTTGCGGGCTCCCTTTGAACGGTCTGATATCATACCACTTGACCTTCTCCTTCACGTCGTAACCTACTCGCATCGTTGGCCACGTTTACATCTTTCTTGACAAGTCTCCCAGTGATGCTGATCGTGGACGCGCCGCCGGTTGGGCACAGGTACATGTCCGGTTTATGCGGAGCATTATCAGAACAAACACCATGCATAATTTCCTTCCGATTTGCTATTATTCTGCAGTTCGGCATGACAGTGAAACGATGTAGGGGCTCACAGTGTAAAACCCAGTGGTAGTGGCGATGGTAGAGACCGGAGGTCTGGGCTAGCGATGTTCATAATAATTCAGGACTCATCGATGAATCTTTTATTCACCGCCCCACTGGAAATTAACCAAGAACACCAGCGGATCCCGTCGGCTTCTCTGATAACAAAACACGTTCTGTTATTGCTACCCAGTGAGACACCAGAACCGCTTCCTATTGGGAGGGAAATCATTTATTCCTCTCTTTACGTTAAGACAAAGAGCTCTACCAGCGATCTCCGTTCCCACCTTCCCTATGAAGGTTATCACAAGTTCTCCGTTCACCTTGATGAGATCTGATGACGTTCGGATGGCTAGCACATCCCTGGCCACAGGCTCCCAAAATGACACTATTCTGATGGATGGAAGTCATTCTCATACTTATGCGTAAGGAAACGCGACTCCTCGTTATATAATGCATCAGCGATAGTTTCATTTCAATATGGGGGGCGGTCCATCAGCATTCTGAATGCAGCATACGCATGAACAATGCGAAAACTAGGCGAATATCAGATGGAATGGTTCCAAGGATGGACCAACTCCCCCTGTAACACATCTGAGGCTGAATTCGGGCAAACTTCTCTACCTGAATGGCGTCGTGGAGGGCCAACGAGTGAGAGCAATGGCGGCAACAACCGAGCCGTAAACTTGGGTGCCATCACCACTGCCGTGCTTAACCACAGTGGTCATGCCCAAGTGGTATGAGTGCGACGTGGGCACGTTCCTCACAGGCTCGCACTCCCTTGAATATCGACTGAGCGCAGAAAAGGAGAAATGATATTTGATGATCGAACTGATCGAAGGCAGGGCACGGCTTGCCCGACTAAGAGTTTATAATAATGATCATCAACTGAGATGATCTTCCTGGCGGAAGCTCGCGCTGGACATAAAATCCGGCCTAGTACTGGCATCTCCGTGGACTATTCGATCCTACTGGGGCTTCCACATTCAGCGAGAACCAAGGCAATGTAAGTACAAATAATAGACCAGAGGCACGATACATTTCATACCTAGAGATAAGACGGATGGGTGAAAACTCAACTATGCACTTAACGATATGAAGATATATTACTGCGGAACTGGCTGAATCCTCGCATCTGTCCTTGCTCGTGCAGTGGTACTCAACTACTGGGATATTACTTAGTTCCGCAACCAATCATGATCTGCGCCTGCAAATAGCGAATCCGGGACAGTAGATATGAACGTACTGGGCCAGCACAGTTCTGTGCCTGCTGTTTCAGCCGTCGGTCATGCAGCCCTTTTCAATAATAGATTACGTCCCAGTGAGGCGTTGGGGTGGGGCCAGGGCACATGACTACGGAGGCAGCGGCAGAATAACCAAGAGGCCCGTCCGCAAGGCACCTGGGAATGGGAACGTTAGACTAAAAGAGAGCGTGCTACGCCTCCTAGCTTGGATACCAAACCACGGGAAGGCTAAGAAAATTTAGACAAAAGCGGACCAGCGACACACTATTATAGGATCTCGCATGGTCATGAACTCGTGGACGTGCGGGTGCTGTGGTAAAAGCCTAGTTTACGCGATACATAAAAGTATCAAACAATTGACCTACTCAGCTCGTCGACCGGGCCCGTACATTCGAGTATTCTCACCAATGCGTTCACCTTCCTTCAGTGTGGAGACAGAGTTCACACATATAGTAATAACGACCCTTTGTCACGGCTTGAAGAACATGGGGAAACGCAAAATGGCAGGTGTGTTCCACGGCATGAATGAAATGAAAATCCCGTTATAATCCGAGTATGATGGATATGTGAGGAAAGATAAATCCCTTTCAGGAAGTGCATGTTAGTGAGGCGTTCTGTTTTGATGTCGCGTGCGAGTCGCATGCAAGAGCGATCCGATTTGCCGATAACGTCTGGCTATGTGAATCAACTCGGAGTGAGTTGAATATGGCCGGAGGAATGGTTATAATCTGCTACGAAGTGGAGGGATAGCAACATTAGATCCTCTTTCTCCCTTGGGTCCGTTTCGTCCAGCTTTGCTTTGCCCCTTTCACCTCTCTTCGCTGCCCCTGTGTCCATTCTCAGCGTACAATTAATATCTGGAACCAATGAGCCCTCACGGCTTACACCTCCTTGACCCCAGCATAGACTATGACCGTATCAACGTTCGAGTGAGCATATATTTATCTTTCTAACTTATTTATATTCAGCTGAATCAAATCCTTGTCCTATTATATTTTCTCTCCTATGCTCTCGATTCCAAATCCGCCGGCACGCTATCACTTTGTTCCCGATGACTGAACCGCCCCACTCCGGTCACTCTTTTTGTTCGATGATGGATGCACAGATTGGAAGTTACGTTGCGTTTATTGAAGGCGAAGCCCTTATACAGGGCTTCGTCGATTGTATATGGCGAAAGGTGTGCAACGTTTCTCCCTTCCTCCGTCTCCACGAACACACTCTCACTGCACTGGATTGCCTCCTATTCTTTGCCATTATTCTCGTTCTGTAACACGGTTCAAACCCAACATTCTTGCAGCCAAAAGTTATTACTCCGTGCGCATGGGTGCATGTGCCACCAAACGCCCACTTCAAGATGGTCCCGCGCGCCCTCCTGCTCTATACCACTCCCCTGCAGCTCGTTTAGCACTGATTGTTCATAGGTTGTGTTGCCTCCTAGACCACTTAGGACGCCCACTCGAGGGCGCCTCACACTAGCGCCAAGAATCCACCCAGTCGCAAGTAATTCCCAATCAATGTACCAGAACACAGCTAACAGATCCTTTCAAATATGCAGATTCAACCTCCCCAACTGTTGGGTCCGCCGGTTCGCTTCGGCCGGCAAATTGGGATCATGAAGCATCATGGGCTGGCACCCACCGATTGCCTCAATGATCCCAATGTTGCCAGGGGCTTCCACCCTGCCACTTACTGCCTCGCTCGTCTGTCGACGGACTGGCACTTCCAGCTTGGGGAAGTGAGTATTCGAAAGAGGGTGGTGGGGGGACTAATGGGGATCGTTTCCGGTCTTATGACAAAAGCACAGAGTCCTCAACTCGCATCATTCCGGGTATGTAGCCGACCCAAGATTGTTCTTCCCCAATCGCTTCGCCTCAACATATGCATCACCTGCATCGATCATGCCACTAGTCGTTCCGGACTCTGATCACCTGAATATACCAGTCATGCTCAGTCTCGGATCCTGAGTTCGAACCGCTATTTCTCCCAGCGCCGCGGTTATTAAATTCCTCTTCATATCTTTTCGTCATTTTTTCTGTTGTCGCTCTGCTACCCGACTCCATCCCCGGTTTCTTCCTTCTCTGCATGTCTTCCTGCTGGTGTTTTCTGTTGTTCGTTTGTCCCATCGATGTCCATGTACCCGTGTGTGTGTCTCTACCCCCACAATCTGAATGAGATCAATTCAAAAGTGCCAGCGCTGTTTCACGCAACAGCATTTGCTTAACAACTCACTATGTCAATTGCTCGACCCTGCTTCACAAGTTGCACCATACAACGATATCATCTCGCCCCCCTGGGACCCCTTCTGAGTTTGACGACGACTGGGCTCTTATTCTGCACATCCCAACCCGTTAAATAGATTGCGGAAGTCCAGCGCACCGATAGCACACATGTCCACAATCTAGAGCAATGACCATTCCAGTGGAGATTTGGATGCCCGACAATGATACCGACGGCTGAGAGGCACATCAGCGCGCGCCTAAAACAAAGGGGATCGCATAGACTGGATATGGGCCTACGAAATGAGGGTAGGGGTACCGAAGTTCACGGTGAACCGGTTCGAACCGTGAATGAACCATGAACCGAACCAGGATGAACCAGAACCGCGGTTCGGTTCGGGTTCTCTATGATGTTGGAATTTTGTGAACCAGGTTCGAACCAAACCGAACCACCGAACCGTTTCATAAATCAGGTGTTGACCTACATCACGACTGGATGCATTTCAGAGAGGAAAATGTATTGCTGTCCCACATCTTGTATGCATATATGATTAAATATAATGAAGCAGACTAGTTTCAGTCAACAGAGAGAACGGGGATGTCCGAGAAAAAACAAATAGAATATTTACTCTCATAAACATCTTTACTGTCTTGCCACCACGCTCCGGACTTTGCTGGTACTTGGATACACTGGTATGACTTCTTCCTGCGATGGTAGTGACACCGGATGGCATACCGACCCGAATAATCCCATGCTCGGCCCTGATGGGAATCTGCGTGATGCTGCCAAACAGCCAGGTCAATTTGTGTACAGTCCATCAGATGAAGTACCATGCATCTCCAGTCCACAAGGAGATATTATCGATAGCGACTTACCAGGATTTCTGCAAGGGGCTCAGGATACTGGGAGACCAAAGCGCACTGTGAAGCTGGTGACACGAGAAAATCCTCTTGATGTCTTTCAGCGACAAAAACTTGCTGCAAAAACAAGGGCTGGCACTTCAGCAAATTCCAATCAACCAGGCAGCAGTGGAAATGCATCCCAAGCAACACTGCAATCATTATCCGAGTTCGGGCTCAATCTGAATAACAAGAAACTGTCGGCCTACCATGGTAACACCAGAAAGAGACGGAAAAACGTTTTGTCCCATGCACTGTTAACCACTGAGTCTGATGCCGATGTCTCCGACAGTCAGACTGAGCCTCACAACATTCCCCGGAAGCGTAGGAAGCAACACGGGAAAGGCCAAGCCCACAAGAGAGCCCAAGCTCGTGTCAAGGGAGCAGACAGCATGAGGTCTCAGAATAAAAATGCGGACGACGAAGCTCAGAGCAAAGGAAGTGGAGGAGATGACAAAGTCAATGATGCTCCAGGTGCTAAGGAAAGCACAGATGTATTCAGAGAGCAGGACGCACTTGTTGCGCAGGTGTTTCTTGAGTCCAAGAAAATGCGCGGACTGCATGATTTATCATCAGTATTTACTGACTTGGTGGAGATTGAAGGGAAAACTGTCCGTGTCTGCCAAGTGTGCCAGTAAGTGTGAATAAATCATCCTTAAAGCAAATACTTATGCTAGCTTATTTTCCTAGAGCCGCTTATGAACGTGGTTCTCACATGAAAGATTTGAAGATTTGTTTCTCCGCAAACTCAGGCTCAAGTACGCTCCGAACACACATAAGCCGTATGGGTGGTGAACACTGGGAACTCTACCTCCGGCATTGCATTGAACTAGACATATCACCAGATAGAAGAGCTATCCCAGAAGGAGTGCGGGAGCAACGGAAGCAAGTTCTCCTGGCAGAGAAGTTTGTATTCATTGAAAATCAATAATATCGTCAAATGTTGATGCAATGCTGGTGTCAATGGTAGACAAAGCCAGCAACGAATAACAAACTTCTACCCACCTGTGAATGCTCCAGACGCTGAGATGTGGTCCTCAGAGGGTATGCTCCACCTAGTGGAAAATCTCATAATTGAGCATGACCTTGTAAGTTTCTCATCTGCATGTTGCGAATCAGCAACCTGACATGAACCATAAAGGGCTTTGACTTCGTAGACTCACATTCCTTCCGGGATCTCATGTCCTACCATGCACGGGCAGGGCTAGACAGTGGGCCAAAGTACAAGGACAGCGACTTACCGCATCGCACGAAAATGGAGACACTCATTCTGGATCGTTCCACACAGGTTAGGGCCTTACTGAAGGACCAGCTTAAGGTACGCCCACCTTAGACTCTCAATCAGTAGTTTTCAGAGCCACATTCCACCCAGAACACCAGCGGACTCATTCATTTCACCTTTGATGCGTGGACTTCCACAACGATGAAGGGGTTCCTTGGTATCACCTGCCATTTCCTTGACAACAACTGGAAGATGCGTTCTCACCTCATGTCCTTTTGTGAGCTGGATGGTCCACATACCAGGGACAACATTGGTCGGCGGTTGTTGAAGGAAATTAAAAAAATGATCCCCACATCAAAGGTTCGCACTTTATTATTCTTCCGTTCCCTCAAAAATTTAAGGACTGTATACATAGATTGGGTATATTGCTTCAGACAATGCATCAACAAATGACGTTGCAATGCGTGTGATCAGCGAGATTCTCAGTGAAGATGATAACATTAAGTGGGATCCATCGCGGCATCGTGTCCGGTGAGTGGCCAGTTAATGTTATTGCTTGATCCGATGTTGAAAGCTGAGCAGGTGTATGGGCCACATTGTTAATTTGGCCATTGGCGCTGTTATATGTGTGCTTGCTGGTGGTACATCCGAATTCGGGGAGGTAGCAGATGGGGAAGATACTGGAGATGTTAATATACTGAGTTTTGCCGGACTGGAGCTACCGAATGACCGGGAGCATTTGGTTGGTCCCCTTTTGGCCCGTGTCCGGGCCTTGATTGTGCGGGTATGTGAAAACCGATTCAACCACGATAATATTTCACCTGTTTCTACTCCTAGATTCGAAAGTCCTCTGGTGCAAAACACTATCTACAAGAGTGCTGCAACAAAGTTGGCATCGCACCATTGGAGCTCGTAATGTATGGGAATACGCGCTGGGGCTCTTGGCTAATGCTCCTGAAGCGATTTGTGCAATTACGACCAGTATGACGCTTTGATTCAATTGTGTTCAGGTTCTGATTATTCATATAGGCGATTATGCATTTTGTCCAGCATGCGGACCGAAAAAGCTCTGTCCCAAAAGCAAGAGGCCGAACTCCCAAATACCAATCATGGGTATTCACAGATGAGGATTGGATTATGATACAGCGTATCATTGATATCCTAGAGGTACGAGAGCAATATAATTTCACTAGGAAGATCCCGTTATATTTACGACAGCACGTAATCAGGTTGCTGGCGATGCACAGCAAGCATTCTCAGGGTCAGATATTCCCAGTTTCTCCCGCCTCCTCTCCGCATATGAAGAGCTCATGACCTCATGGGAGAACAAAGGGAAAGACCCTGCCTTCGCTGCGATATCTAGCGCAATTCAGGATGGAGTTACGCTCCTCGGAAAGTACTATGATGCCACTGATGAATCGCCCTTAGCGGTGCTGAGTACTAGTATGCGCCAAATCATACATCTCATATCATTCTAATGTCTTTTTTATCACAAGTCCTTGACCCCGCAACAAAAGATACATACATTAAGTACTTTTGGGCTCCAGAATATCAACCAAAAGCAATGGACGCTGTGTGAAAGATCGTAAGTTGTTACTTCCCATTTCCCAGGCCTGACTGAGCCGCTTTCAGTTCCTCGAATACCATCAAGCCCACATCACTCCTGTGACTCAGTCCTCGGGAAGCACTATTCCACCTGAGGCCACGAGATTGTCAACATCGGTGTCATCTGTGTCACAAACATTTGCCATATCACGTCGTCTTGCTGCCAGCCGGATGCGCCGTACTCAAGAGATCGAGGCTGGCGATCCATACATTGAGCTGAATCGCTACATGAGCGATGTTCTTGAACCACCTGGTACCGATATGCTGGATTTTTGGAAGGTACGTATATTAACTTTAAAAATCCTTGCATCACACTCAGCAGGCTCTATGATACATAGAACAGGGGCTCCGCATATCCAGTGTTGCAAACAATGGCACGGGACATTCTTCCAGTCCCCGGATCATCCGTGCCATGTGAGCGGGCATTCTCAGCAGCTAAGCATACCGATACTGGGAGCCACAATCGCCTGCTACCTGAACACCTTGGCCGGATTCAGATCTCCAAAGCCAACCTGCTACGATATCAGCAGGAAAAGAAGGACGCAAAAGAAATGGCTGCTCAAGAACAACTCAAAAGGTGGAAAGAATATGAGGCTAAGGAGGCAGCAAAGCGTGCAGAGGATGTATAATACTTCTTGCAATATATTAATTCCGCTGTAAATACATCTCATTATAGGTGTCTGTTTGAACCGGTTCGAACCCGAACCGAACTGTTGTTGAACCATGGTTCGGTTCAGGTTCGGCCTTCCCATCCTCTTTTCGAACCGGTTCGGGTTCAGGTTCGCGGGATTCTACCTCTGAACCGAACCGAACCGAACCACGGTACCCCTAAATGAGGGAACGGGGCTGCAGGAGCATAAGTTGCAGGAGGTGAACTGCCCTGGCACAAGATGCAAAGGGCAGTAGACCAATTACAGTTCTACTTTACTGGGATCCTTGGTAGTTAACGAAGAATCGAACGATATGAATGTTGTGGCAAGCGGTGGGTTGCGGAGAACCACCACAACCCAGAGGACACCGCCACATAACCCTATCATGATGATGTAAGTTGTTGTACTCTAATTTGTTACCGCGGCAGTTGCGGCTAGCCCGACTAATTACTACATGAGGGCTCGTCATTGTCGTCAATACAAGGTAGGGTTGTCTGGTTGGTGTGGTCGGGGCGACGGGGTCGTCTGCG